TAATAGTTCACCATTACTTTTTTAAAAATATGATTGCTATATTGAGAAAGCTCTCTTTCATTTCTAGCTTGAGAGTTTTTAACATGGATTTTGAATTTTGTCAAATGATTTTTCTCTGCATCTATTGAGACTATCATTTTGTTTTTCCCCTTTCATTCTGTTAATGTGGTGAATTACACTAACTTTTCAACATTAAACCATTTTTCTTCACCATGGTAGCTTATCCTCTATATTGCAAGATTGAATTTGCCAATATTTTGTTAAGAATTTTTAAAATATATTTTTATTTATTTCAGAGAAAGGGAGAGGGAGAGATAGAAACATCAATGATGAAAGAGAATCATTGATCCACTGCCTCCTGCACCCCCCACACTGGGGATTGAGACCACAACCTGGGCATGTGCCCTGACTGGGAATCAAACCTCGACCTTCTGATTCACAGGTTAATGTTCAACCACTGAGCCACACCAAATGGGCTGTTAAAATTTTTTAAGTCTATATTTATGTGGGTTATTTAGATAGATTATGTTGCCTCATGTGTTTGGAAGTGTTCCTACCTGCTCTATTTTCTGAAAGAGTGTAGGATTAGGATTTTATCTTCTTTAAATATCTGATAAAATTTATTGGTAAAGCTATCCAGGCCTGAAGTTTTCTTTGTGGGAAAGTTTTTTTATTACAAACTCAATTTCTTTAATAGATATTGGGTCATTTAGATTTTCTTTTCCTTCTTTTCTTTCTTTTGTATTTTTCAGAAATATGTCCACTTCACTGGACAAGTTGTTTTTATTGGTATAAAGTTGTTGAAACTATCCCTTTAATATCTGTATAATTCTATTAGCATTTTGGCTACATTAAAACTAAATTTTTGCACACAAAAATAAAGTAGATGACTAACAATGAATTAGGGGAAAAGAAATATATATGGCAGAAAAAAAGATATGTGTGTATGTGTATACATATATATGGTAGGAGCAAACATCTAGTGACGGAAAAAGGGAATTACCATTCAGTGTGACAATTATCATGAAAGACACATAGAGAACACATAGGAAGGATACCCAGCCCAATTTGGGGAATTAGAATCATGATGTCCAAGTGATGAGTTAGATCATTCAACCCCAGGTAAGTTAATATAATAAAACTTTTGGGCACTTAAAAAGCTGAGACTTAGATCTCAGATTCAATTAGTTCACATTAATTATCCAGCTGTGAGGGCTATAGTCGACTGCCTGCCTCTTCCACTGGTATATCCTTAATTAAAAAACAAAACAACTTTGTTTTTAGGAAAATGATATGTTCATTACTTAAAAACTCACATAGAAAAGTTCAAAAGGTAAAAGTCCCTTGCATTTTGGCCAACATCCTTCCAGATCTTTTAGTACATGTAAAAACATATATATCCAAAAAAAAAGAAAAAAAGAAAAAAACACACATATATATCCTATGTAATAAAGAGCTAATATGCAAATGGTCATCACACCGTAACGGCTCACTCAACACTGGGGAGAGAGGAATGGGGACCAACCAGGCACAAATGAGCTCGAGAGAGAGGAAGGGGTACCAGCCAGGCTGTGGCCTGGGAGAGGGATAAGCCGCATGCCCTATGGTCCCGGGTGCCAGCAGCTGTGACTGCGGCCTGGGAGAGGGACAAGCTGCCCGCTCCATGATCCCAGGTGCCAGTGGCTGTGCCTGCACCTGCAGCCTGGGAGAGGGACAAGCCACCTGCCCCGCGGTCCCAGGCACCTGTGGCTGTGGCCTAGGTGAAGCTGCCCGCCCGCAGTCCCCGTGGCTGCGGCCGGCCTGGGTGCCTGTGGCCGGCCAGAGGGAGGGAAGCCTGGGTCCCAGGTGCCTGCAACCGGCCAGAGGAGGGAATCCTGGGTCCTGGGTGTGGGGTGAGACAGAGGTGGTTAGGGACGATAGGGCCAGCAGGGGAGCAGTTAGGGGCGATCAGGCAGGCAGACAGGCAGAGGGATTAGGGGCGATCAGGCAGGCAGGCAGGCGAGTGTTATGAGCCAGCAGTCCCGGATTGCGAGAGGCAGTCAGACATCCTCTGAGGGGTCCCATATTGGTTAGGGTGCAGGCCGAGCTGAGGGTCCCCCCTGCCCCCGTGCAAGAATATATATACACACATACACACACAACATATACTCATGTTGGTATTATACTGTTCATACTGATCTGTATTCTGCTGTTTCTGGAATAAATACCCCAACATATATGCTATGGATACACTTTCATATAAAAAGAGATTGATCGCCGAAACCGGTTTGGCTCAGTGGATGGAGCGTCGGCTTGCGGACTGAGGGGTCCCAGGTTTGATTCCGGTCAGGGGCATGTGCCTGGGTGGCGGGCACATCTCCAGTGAAGATGTGCAGAGCAGCTGATCAATGTTTCTCTCTCATCGATGTTTCTGACTCTCTCTCTCTCTCCCTTCCTCCCTGTAAAAAATCAATAAAATATATTTTAAAAAAATAAAATAAAATAAAAAGAGATTGACATCATTGTTTTTAATGGATCAAGGATATACCATTATATGTATGCATCATAATTTAATGTCTTAGTGATGGCACTTATTTCTAGAAGCACCTATCATAAAAAAGGGAGTGAGGAACATCCTTGTGCATATGTTTTTTAAAAAAATATATTTTTATTGATTTCAGAGAGGAAGAGAGAGATAGAAACATCAATGTGATGAGAGAGAATCATTGATTGGTTGCCTTCTGCATGCCCCCTACTGGGGATGGAGCCCACAACCCAGGCAAGTACCTGTGACCCTTCAGTCAGCAGGCCGAGGCTCTATCCATGGAGCCAAACTAGCTAGGGCTTAATTGTTGGAGCACATGAGACTTGGTTTTGGTTGGAAAGTTTGTAAGGAGGACATTCTGAGGAAAGGGAAGTGTGCGGAAGGCTGCCTGCCCTGTTTATTGGAATTCTGACTTAGGGGAGTGCCGAAGGTGGTGCCCCTAATTATTCTTTGATCTTTCCAAACAAGTCTGTGCACATGCAGACCCCAGGGTGTTTACTGGAATCCTTATGCTTAATCTTATGCATGTCCTTGCTTAAAGGACACTACAAACACATGTGTCCTCCCAAGATTACTTACCTTACTGACTGTATCTAAAAGCTAAACTTTATCTCAAACTGCTGCTACAATAAAAGCCTAACAAGGCAGGCAATGGAGTCTACCTGGTTCCTTTAGCCTGGCAGTCCCTTAGCCCTCTCTTTCACAGCAAACATGGTGTTGTGGAGTAATCCACTCATCCTTCGCTCAGGGTTTGCTGGTCAGCTCCGACACTGAATCTGTTTTCTTTTAGCTTTTTTCCTGCAGTGGTCTCAACCTTCTGGCCCTTTAAGTACAGTTCCTCATGTTGTGACCCAACCATAAAATTATTTTTGTTGCTACTTCATAACTGTAATGTTGCTACTGTTATGAAGCATAATGTAAATATCTGATATGCAGGATGGTCTTAGGCAACCTCTGTGAAAGGGTCGTTCGACCGCCAAAGGGGTCGCGACCCACAGGTTGAGAACTGCTGCTTTAGAGCAAATGAGATTGTTCAGGCAAAGATTAACACTTATGTTAAATTTTGGTAAATTAGGTTGTACCAATTTCAACTCTACACCAAGTTTTTGTTGTTGTTGTTAATCCTCACCTGAGGATATTTTTAGAGAGAGTGGGAGAGGGAGAGACAGAAATATCCAGGTGAGAGAGACACATGGACTGGTTGCCTCCTGCATGACCCCCCCAAGGAACCTGCAACTGAAGTATATGCCCTTGACCTGAATCAAACCTGGGACCCCTCAGTCCACCTGCCACACTCTACCCACTGAGCCAAACCGGCTAGGGCTATGGTTTCATTCTTTAATTCCTTGATCCATCTGGTACTTATTTGAGAAAGTAGATGTAAAGGCTGTCCCACTGACCATCTTTTCCCCTTGACCAGTGATTTGTAATGTGCATTTTACTGACCTCCGAGGCTTCTGGAGACAGACTGACTGGCTTCCACACTGACCAGTAATGGCTCTGGGTAACGCTGTAGAATCGAGACACTAGAGGGTTAAATAAGAACCCGAAAAAGTGCTCCCGTATTTGATTAGTGCTCTGTAAATGTGAAATATTATTATTAAACACTCACACATACACAGCAGTTTGTTTCTGGATTCTAGAATCTGTTCACTGATCAGATTAACACCCCGGTACCCAATTCCCTGTCACATCTAATGGCTCCTCTTTGCTCGTTTCAACAAAATACCGTCATATGTCAGTTGCCTTTCTGATCATAAGGAGCGCCCCAAAATGTTTACGTTGGGGGCAAAAATAAGCCGTGCTTCACAATGCAGTGAGGATCAAACCCAAACCGAGGCCCTGAACCAGCGTGGGGGAGGGATGGGGCCTAGCTTCCCTACCACCTGCTCGGAAAGGCTGACCCTCCTCATTCATTCGTGGGCACGTGCCCGATGCCGTTCTCCAAAGCTCGCCCCTCTGCTTCCAAGTCTGGTTACAACCTGCAGACCAGCCGGGGGCCGGGCTGGAGGGCAGTCCGCGGTGGGCTGTGAGCTGGAGGCCGGGGCGGGGCCGGTGGACCTGCTGGCCCCGGGGTCCCCGAAGGCCAGCCGCGCCCGGTCCCCACCTGAGCACGGAGGCGGGCGGGGTGGCGGCAGTACCACCTCGGAGCCCTCCGAGCAGAGTGTGGTGAGAGCGGGCAGAGGGACGGAGAAACGCGAAAAGGGGAAACACCATCGGCTTCCGCTCAACCCCGGCCCCGAGAAGCAGGTGGCCCTCGGGTTGCCGTCCCCTGGGGCTCTGGGCACCTCCGTGCCCCGCAGCGGCCGCCTGGGGGCGTGGCTCCGGCGCAGCGTCGCCGCCGTAGAGTCTGGCGGCCCCGCCCCGCCCCGCCTCGCTCGCTCCTCCCTTTAACGGCCTCGGGCCGCCGCGTCGGTGACGTCACCGAGGGGCGGGACTTCCTGCTGCGTGCGCCCCAGGGTCCCGCGACTCTGGCCACCCCTACGGCTGGAGGGACCGCGGGCGGCGGGCGGAGGTGGAATTCCCGCCGGACGACGTGCAGGGCTGGCCCCGCACCCCTGAGAAGGCCGGCTCGCCGCGGAGGAGCGGGGCGCTGCTCGGCGGCCGCGTCCCCACCCCGGGAGCTCTCCCGGGACCCCTCACCTTTCCCCGCGCGGGGAGCCCGACGGGCCGGGGAGTCCTGCTCCGCCTGGTCAGCCCGCGCCGCGAGCGGCCTCCCGGACTCGCCCGGCGTGGAGGGCTGGGCGCGCACCCCGCGCGTGGGCCCGGCTCCCTTCGCCCCAATGCCCCGGCGAGAAGAGCAGAGTGGGTGCCGGTGGCTGGAGCTGTTGGAGGGGTCCCTGGGTGGCGATCGGGGTCGGCACACAGGTCACTGTTCGTCTCCTGTCCGCACGTTGCAAGGCTGTGTGTGAGTCTGGTACGTACCCTCGTTTTAGGGGGACGCTGTGTTGTCCGTATGTTGGAATCCTCATTCTTTTCTGTTGTTCAGAACTTGCCCTCGGATTGTTTTTTCCTCGTCGTGTAATTGAGCGGGGGGTTGGCAGCGCAGGCTGTTTTCGTAGGCGGTGCAGTGCACGTGGAACTGGAGCTTTTTGCTGCACTCCCGCGCGGTGCCTGTGCAGCCAGGTTAGTAACTGGCTAAGTATGTGGCACCTCCGGTTTAATTTGGGATGAAATTGCTATGCTACCGTTTTCCTTGACCGTGAAGTCAATGTTAACCGTGTTGTTGGCTGCCGTTACAGAGGTACGTCTAGAAATATGTCATGAATGCTTGGGCTTGAGTGGCCGCTGATCCATCCTTAGTGTCCAGCTTTTGACCATAATAATGGGGCACTTGGCTCTTAAAAATGCCCACTGCTAAGTACTTTAAAATACTGTGGTCATTAGTTGTAATGATGAAGCTATTTCAGTAAAATCTCAAAGAAGTCTAGGATAACAAGAAACTTGTTCATAATTTCTCATATAGTTTGTAATGTGTTCAGACAATGAGCACCAAATACTTGAGTAGATCTAAAACTGAGCAGGCTGTGAAAGCATTGCTTCTGTTACCAAGCAACAGCTTCGTAAACAAGCCTAATATTCAGCTAGAATATAATTAAAAGTATCCTACAGTTACCTGGATTCAGAATTCTCTAAGTTCATGGGTGGTTACAGTTAACAGTCACCTTTTATATTTTGGTTTGATTTCAGACTCATTTTGTTTAGAACAGTGGTTCTCAACCTTCTGGCCCTTTAAATACAGTTCCTCATGTTGTGACCCAACCATAAAATTTATTTTCGTTGCTACTTCATAACTGTAATGTTGCTACTGTTATGAATCGTAATGTAAATATCTGATATGCAGGATGGTCTTAGGCGACCCCTGTGAAAGGTCGTTCGACCGCCAAAGGGGTCGTGATCCACAGGTTGAGAACCGCTGGTTTAGAATGATGAGAATGCTTTAAATTTGTGTCATACAGGATTCTCCAGAGAGTTGCAAATGAATTTGATTACCCTTTGATTATTTAGGACAGAGTATGTCAGGTGTTCCCTTTCCTTTCGGTATTTTCTTTTGTAACCCGATGAAGTGTGCAGACTATTATATTAAGGAATTTTCTCAAATAATGGAGTAATGCCAACTTAGGGTTACATAGAGCATTAGGAAATTGAAACACTGATTGTCCACAGGTGGTTTCTAAGCCTCCGGTTAGCCAATAACATCACACCTCAGTCATTGAATCGGTGTGTATTTTTAGGGAATGTGTGTATGTATCTATGTAAAAAAATTTTTTAAATCCTCATCACGCAAGGATATTCTTACTGATTTTAGAGAGAGGGGAAAAGGGAGAAAGAGGAAGAAAGAAACATTGACAGGGAATCGAATCTGCAACTTAAATATGTGCCCTGAGCGGGAATTGAACCCACAACCTTTGGTGTATGGGATGACGACGCTCCAACCAACTGAGTGACACTGGCCAGGGCTAAACTTTAATGATATAATTTGTCTGGTAAATAGTTTTCAGAGCATTTTTCATGCTATTTGGAATATAGTAACCTTTCAGGTATTTAAGCAAGTATGTGAGAACATTTGAGAAACAGAATCATTGACTTCTTTGAAATCAAGCTATTAGTAAATGGGAATTGGAACTTGAAATTTAATGTTCTTTATATCCTGTCCTTACTGTATGCACAAATCCATAGACTTCATTTTAGTCCTCTATCCCTTTTTCTTCCCCAATTGCTGATGCTGAAGTAATGAAATATTCAAGTTGGTCAAGACAAGCAGAGAAGAAAAATCAAAAATGACTCATGTTGTTTAATAAAATCTTGAGTAATCACATGTCAGCATTTTGTCATGGGAAGTTCTAATTCAAGCTTAAAAGAAGGAAATCTTAACAGAAAGACTAGTGAATTGTCAGAATTCTTTGTGTTTTCCATGTGCTGTCTCTGTCTAAAGTAAATGTTTTATTTTACCTTTGTCATATGTAATGTATTAGGTTCAGTGAGTAATTTTATCAAGTTGTCTAATCGGTGTGTATTTTTAGGGAATGTGTGTATGTATCTATGTAAAAAAATTTCCAGAAGTACTCTTTCCTACTGACTAACGTTCACATTTCTTAACCTGGACTCTTAAAAGTCTCTCTGCACTCTGTGTTTTCAGGTTTTTATATTTTTTGTAGAAAAGCTATGATCTCACTCATCACACTGGTTTCTTCACTATCCTCTAAACCTGCTGTGTGCTTTCTCTCTTCTTTACCAGTCTTCTTGTCATTCTACCTACCTGACCTTGTTAGATAGGGCAAGAGTCTCAAGGTCTGGGCCATTCTTACTAAATGCTATTCTTGCTAAATGTTAAAATGTAGCACAGTATTTTGCAGACCAGCTATCAAAAGGATGAGATTGACAGGAACCTAACCCAATAATAAGTGTGGCCAATTGAAATCAACTTGTAACTTTCCAAATAGTGTATATAAGCAATGGCTAATCCTCCCTTACTTGCTGCAGGTAAATAAAGCTACCTTGCATTTTTTACTAGAGCACCCCAAATGGTGAATCCCTTGAGTTCCGTAACAGCCAGATTTCTTCTTTACTTTCCTAAAACCTAAATTGTACCTTTTTGTAAAGTTCAATTGTGCTGTTAACTCTAGGGGAAGAAAAATTCTCTACCCTCTTGGGGTCTCTGGCTGGGCCTAAGAATTAAATTGACGTAAGTCAGATAAACAGGAGAAAAGCATCTAAGTTAAAAAAAATTTACACGTACACGGGAGCATTCACAGGAGAATGAAGACCTGAAGAGGTGACCAGAGCAGAAAGCTTTTACTATATCTCTAGACCAGTGGTTCTCAACCTTCCTAATGCCGCGACCCTTTAATACAGTTCCTCATGTTGTGGTGACCCCCAATTTCATTGTTACAAATTGAACATAATTAAAGCATAGTGATTAATAACAAAAACAATATGTAATTATATATGTGTTTTCCGGTGGTCTTAGGCGACCCCTGTGAAAGGGTCGTTCGACCCCCAAAAAAGTCCGCGACCCACAGGTTGAGAACTGCTGGTCTAGACAATT